ATGGCTTAAGTGCCATAAGTTCCTGTCTCTGCTGTACATTGATTTCTTAATCACTGGAACAGGCACATTATGCTTCTTAGCATATTCAATAGCATCTTCTCTCCCTGTAATATCCCATTCTCTCCAGGGAGCCACAACATTTAATTCAGGATTTAGAGCAAAGAATGTGAGCTCAAAGCGAACCTGGAGAAATAAATATACTAGTGAATTTGTGTTTGAGGAAATACATATAAAAGATTAATTATACAAGTGAAGTTGTGTTTGATGAAATAGAAGGGTTATAATATTAAAGCTTGGTTGAGAGGCACGCCTGATCATTTCCTTTCCCTGTGCATCCATGAGAAACAGCATCTGCCCCAACCTCTCTGGCAACATCCACCATGGCCTGTCATAATAAGTACATTACCACAAAAGGTAAGAAAAAAAATCAAAGAAAATCAAGAAAATGGAGCCAGCATAAAAGGAAAATGCAGTTAAAAGTAAGGATAATGCAGAAGAACAAGTGAATAATCGCATTCAAATGCCAAAAGATAAAATAGGATTCCACAGAAAGCAGATAAAGTAAAAATTGCAATACTGAGGTAGCATGCAATGTAGGCCTCAATAAGAGCTTTTATTAAGTTATGCTTGGCTGAATGTAGAACTAGCAAAACCTAACAAATTTCAAAATAGGTAGTAACCTTTGCAATAACAGGCTGGGCCATAGAGGTTCCCAACAAGTATTTCCTTTCGTAAATGGCCCCAGCTCGCAAGCAAGGAAATATATAATCTCTCACAAATTCCTCCTTTAAGTCCTTCAATACTAACTGGCAAGCCCCGCTTGCCTTGGCCTTTTCTTCCAAACCGTCCAATTCCTTTATGCCCTGCAAAAGTTTGGAATGGGAGATAAAGTATGATCATAATAAAATCGTATTAAAAACTTAAACCACATTATGCAAGAACATAAAGTTAGTTAACTGTTCGGCAAACTTGTTACTGCCACTTACTTGGCCAACATCGGCTGTGAAGCAAACAACCTCACAACCGTAGTTCTCTCTGGAAAAGCAAAATACTTATTCAGAGAATGAATCATATAGTTATTATTAGAAAAAAGTATGTGCATAGGATCAAGGAAAACTAAAAGTAAAAAGTCAACTCTGGTTTAACCATCATCTGCATGAAACAGACCTACTCATCCAAAAAAAGATGCTTCAAGAATTATGACAGAACCGTGCTTACTTTTTGACCAAAAAAATTATTTTTATTAGTATATATAACATAAAACAGTAGAACTACCTTAGCCACGGCACAATAACAGAAGTACCTAAGCCACCACTATAGGCCAAAACAACTTTGTTTAATTTGCCTCGCAGCCCTCCGCCCTTTGTTGCTGTGGAAACTTCCATCTCCTTATCTCTGGACAAAACAGCTTGAATACCTGAAAGTTTGCAATGAAGATGCAGATGTAATTGAAACAGCAGAAGGTTAAAACTCTCGTAATGGTTTGACTATGTTTTACACTGGCCGTCAACCTATTGCAACCCTCCTCACTTTATTTGGGCTTGGAACCGACAGTGTGGTAACACAGGCGGAATTATAGAGAAATGATATGAGGGTTAAGGAAATAGATGAAAAGGTTGTTGATAGAAATGAGTGGCACAAAAAGATTCAAAATTACGACATAACATGATTTTTTTTTACCTTTCATTTAGCCAACCCTAGAATTATAGGATACAAGACTTAGTTTGTTGTTGTTGTTGTAGAAGGTTAAAACTAAAATGTAATAGTGAAAAACAGCTCAGAAGATGCCTATCAAATGTGTCACAAAGCGGATGTGCAAGAAAAATTACCAACAATAGCGGCTTATAGAGAAAACAAAAAGAAAGAAATTCTTAAAGTTTTCTGCTTGCTGTATCTGTATAATTGTGGTAAAGTTAAATAAAGTAATAAACAATAGTATAGAATTCAAGTTAGAATTGGAAAAACTATGGAAGTGAAGTAAATAAGAGCCATAATAAGTGCCATACCAAACTGTATCTGTCAATATGAATAATATTTACCATATAATTTCGAAAACACATCACATTAAAGGTAACTGTTCAAATAAAGGAGTAAAGAGGAAGTCAATGCTTATCATGTGCCATAAATGTATTGTGTGATTTTAACACATGGGGTGTTTTCATTATGAAGCCTAAGGCACTCCACTAAGCATCCAAGCCTTTTTGACACAATCACAATCACCAAAGGACTTTACTAGCTTGGCTAGCAGGCATCTGCACATTTTATATCCTTCCTATGATATGATTTCACATTTTATAGATCTCAATTGATCAATCAATCTCGACAAAAGCCAATATACTTCTAGTTTTCGATTTTCTCCTTTCTCTTTTAGTTAGTATTCGTTTTAACTAAGTAAACTACTTCCGCTAACTCTAAGGTTTTGCACCAATAAATCCCTTTCTTTTTCCAGTTACTTGAATTATTATTCCTGCACATAGGACAACAAAACAAGCAGAAGCAACATAAAAAAATCTAAAAGAAGAGAAGGGTAATTCCTTTTATTACTGAAAATGTTGAAGAACCGAGCAATGATTGCCGTCACCTTGATTATTAGGTGCTAGAGTGATAGACCCATTGTTGCTTACAATTGCATGGCCATGGAGTGAACTTGCCCCTCCACTTAACTGTCAATGAAATATCAAAAAACCATGTTGGGATGCAAACTGTAAGAGTAAATTATAAACATTAAGCAAAATAATACCATGAAAAATACTAACATGGAGAGGAGCCAAATAGTTTTCAAAAGGAAATTTTGATGATATCATTTAGTACAAATACCTTTTGGAAAGAAGACAACTTTCTGGAGCTAGAAAATGTATTAGGATAGAACAATGTGTCTGAAAATGGAAGAACCAAAACACCACATTAGCACAGAAAATCATTAAAAATTACAAAAAAATAAGTTCCCTTTCCCTTTTTCTTGGATTGCTATCTAAACAAATCAAGACCCGTCTTCAACAGAGCAAATAAAGCAAAAAAATGAAGCAACAATCAGAAAGTTTACAATGGAGGAACTGGGAAGTGAAAAACTCGCTTCTTTTGGGGCTGTAACAAGCCAGGTTCATCGACGATGTGGCCTTGAGCTGAGCCATTTCTTTCTCTCCTCCTGATTTTGAGCAAACACAGACAAACCAACAGGAGTGACGACGCTAAGATTTTAGGCTTTACGACCAGTGGCAAAAGAAACTACGTTGCGTTTCCTTCTTGGGTATCAGTTCTCGTTCATGTGTTAGAACTCTGAATTCACAACAAAACAGCCCCGCCAATGGCCCCACATGTGTGTCACGTTAAGCGCTTCAAAGAACTGTACAGAGTGCTTCAATCCCACGTCAAATAAAAATAGAAGATCACCAAATATAGGCTCTATACATCTTAATAAGTTGATTTTGTAAAAAAAAAAAAAAAAATTCCCCACATGACAGGTGATTTAAAGTCGACTCTTGATTCAACTCTACATTAAGTGGCCTAATAAAATAAATAAAATAAATTAATTTAATCACTTAACAAAATGATTATGATGATAAAATCTAATCATCCTAAACACTCAAGAAAGTAACAGACATGATAACGATCACAATAAAAAAAATATCACGTAAAATGCTTCAAAAAAAAAAAAAAGGATTGGAGAGTACAAATTATTACGCCAAGTATTCCAAAGGGATAAATAAAGTGTTTTAATCGCATATGGAATAAGAAAAAAAAAAGAATATGAGATTAGGGCAAGAAAAATATCACACCAAATGCCCCAAAAAATAAATAAAATGCTTTAATCCCATATGAAATAAGAAAAAAAAAAAAGAATCCAATAAGAAGACATCACACTCCAAAGGATTAAATAAAGTGCTCATTCTATATATATTTTTAGCAGATTTATTCATTTTAAATTTAATAAATTTATATAAAAGTTTTTTTTTTTTCGATCTTCTAATGAATTCGAATTCAAATAATCATTGATTTGAACATATTATTCGACAAGTATAATCGCCTATTGAAAAGATAATCAAAAGTTTAATTGATTGATTTAAACATATTATTCTATAAATATAATCTCCGATTGAAAAGATGTTTCGCTCAAGTTTAGAACCTCGTACTTATAATGTTTTTTAAATTATAGCCACGAACCCTGCTTTTACTGTCTATAATTCTAATTCTCCACTTGATGGCAATGGGGCCTCAGCTTGGAACTTTTTCCTATCAATGTGTCAAAATCACCGGTTTTATAGTGCTAAAACATAAACATTTTGCTACCAACCAAAAAGGGAGGTGAGAATCACTATAACCTCACATTGTTTTTGGATTGAAACAGTTTCGATGATAAATCAAGTAATAATACGATTAAAAAAATATTTCATATCATATTGATGTGATGATATGATAAAAATTAAAATCTCATGTTCCCATAAGAATAGAAATCTCTCTTATTGGTTATCTAAATGAAGCATCAGATTTAAATTTGCTATTAAACACTTTTTCAGGTCGAGCATTTCTTGAAGAATAGGGTTTAAATTCCCTCTTCTCAAGAAGAAGTTTTCAAATCTGTTGCTTGATTAGCAGTTTCCTCTTGCTTAAAGTTGAGGTTCAGCCCGAAGAGCATATTATTTACTGTTATTGTAATGTAATTAATCAATCACATTTTAGTATTTCGTGAGATCTATTAAAAAATTATGTAGAGCTCATATTTTTAAATAATAGATATTTATATGATTTTTGATTAATTATAGTATTACAAAAAAAAAAAATTATAGTTGATATGGATCCTAGCCCGAAAGAAAAGACGTAACATTCAAGATATGAGCACCAGCAAATACATTAGACATAATGGCAATAGTAATATCTTATAATGTCCTGAGGAGAAAAAAAAGATAGATGAAAGAAAGTTTAAAATTTCAACATCCTTATTAATTTTTTAAGACAAGAAGTTAGCCTGTGGACTGAGATTGCTCCTCTAGTAGTCCTGGATTTCAGTCTGGGGTTTGTCTCTTTTTCTTCGGAGGCGAGTCTGTTTCATGAGGGCATAGCAATCTGCATTGCATCATGTCCAGCAAACGAGATTGCAAATGCTTATTCATCTCCATTACATGCTTTGTCATGCTTGTAACCAACATTCGATCGTCTATGCTTTTCTCCATTTTCATTTGCATCATTGCAGGTGTTTTTTCTCGCTGCCCAAGAATCCAAAACAACATGATGATCAAATCTACCACAGTCCACGCAACATATTTTTCAGTAATTTCCACAACCAGTAACAGAATATCAAGTTCTTTGCATAAGGGGCAAATTAATAGTGTTTGGTTATTCCCTGGTATGATGCATCTAAATTTCAACAGATTAAATGCTACATTTTATATCGTTATGCGCCAAAATAAACCAGGCTTGACACAGAGAGAGAGAGGGAGAGGGAGAGAGACCTCCGAATCAAATATTAAGTGGTGTAGCAAATTGTTTCCCTGGAAATTAGTTGCAGTTTGTTTGTTGAGGCAAGCTGACAAAGAGAGAAAAGGAACCATTCCCTTGCCCGAGTTGGAAGGCTGAGGATACTTTTGGAGCAAAGAAACACGGAACTGATTGGGAACTCTTCGATGGTTTGACATCGAAAACAATGCAGACTGATTAATCACTACCATATTAGTCACTGCACCTGTTCACAATTGAAACTAACATTAGAGCTGAAAAACTTTCAATTCTTTATTCTGTCATCAGGATTTGTACCAAAACTGAAAGGTGAAAACGTGACATTTTATGTTTTTTTTTTTTTTTTTATTGCAAAACTGAATAAAAACCATATCAAAAGAGAGGAGAATCCTTCGGGAAATGAAATGTAGTAATATTTACCTTTCTTATGGTTGAATCTTCTGATAACCACCCTGTTGATTGTATCCCAAAGGCAGAAGGTGAAATCCTCCGATGCAGATATCAAACCAAATCCACTGAAAGTCAATGCAGTTATAGATCCACTGCAAATAAGATTGGATTATTTAAGTCTCTTCATAGGATTTCATATTTACATACAAATACTTGGCAAAATGCAGTGATTTTTACTACAAGAACAACTTTAATACTAAATCAACAGAAGCCTTGTATGAATTTCAGTGTCCAGGAGAATTTAAGAAATTTCAAGCACCATACGTTACGCATTACTTGTGTCCTTTTAGCTCAAATGCTTGATCTTCAGTAGTGACGAGAGGATCCTCAACAAGTCCGATATCAAGCATATTAACAAATATTTTTCCATCTACACTACCAGAAAACAATAGCTGCTCTACCGGATGATGAGTGATTGCTGTTATTGATGTTGGATAAACATGAGTTTGTAAAAGCCTTCCTGAAATTAGGTCCCAAACCTGCTAATAAGCAACGCGTCGCCCTTGCATAAGAAAAGTTGCAACACAGAAGATATAATCAAGTGAAGTGTGAGCAGTAATGCAGTGTTTAACAGACCTTGCATGTTCCATCCAGAGAGCTTGATACGAAAATGGAACGTGCACCAGCTGACATAGTCACTAAACCAGTTATGGAAGATCTGTGTTCTGATGAGTAATGTAGCAAAGGAGGTGAACTTCCAGAATCTTCCACATCTAGCAAACTTTAATCAAATTGGTCAGATTGAGGCATCTATGATTAATTTTGTAGTTTAATCAAAATTATTTGGTTGGAGTTAGTAGCAAAGTGGAAAAGAATCAGCAGAAAATTTTAGTGTTTACCTAATCAAAGACCAAACACAGATGATTCCATCAGTAGAACCACAAATAAGAAGCGAATCATCGTCAGAAAAGACCATACACTTCAAAGACTTATTATGAGCATGCCATGTTCTCAGCAATCTTCCATTAGCAACCTGATCGGTTTCATCACATCAGAAAAATGTTTGGATAGTGTTCTCATATGCCTTAATGAAGTTGATCCACTGGCTGTTCGATTTTGGCACCAATTTCGAATAATTGATGGCCACATACAAACAACTACAACATCTTAATATAGTCTAGATGACTATGTTGTTTAAGGAATTCATCAGATGAAATGTGGGATTGATGGTTCTTTTTGCCCTTATGGACAAGAGGAGAGTGGTACTTACCTCCCAAAGATAAGCATTCCCAGAAGAAGCTCCACCTGCAATATATAAGCCATCCTTTGTGCAAGAAAGGGGGCCAATAGCCTCCATTGTGTAGCTTCGGAGTGGTGATTGAGGCTGAAGATAAGAGAGGAAAAAACGATGTCACATGGAGCTTCTTATATGATATAACATTGTTTTTGATGATATGCAACTGGTTATACATACGACATAAAAGGGGAAATATAAAAATCATTCTGAATGGGCACAACAAATCCCTCTAATGGCTTATAAATTAGCAATACGTTTGGCTTTGTTTACTGGCAATCTTCAGAATATCAGCTGCCTACACAATTCACATTTCCAACAGCAAAGAATTATTTATGTACAAAAATTGCAATAACAGAAACAATGTCAAAATCAATTTCATGATTCTTTTAGGTAGAGTAGAGGGGATTAAGAAGAATCAGGAAAAACAAGGGAAAGGTGGAGTTATTCATCTGGGAGCGGGATTAATAACAGGAAAGGGTATCCGCCAAGACCCGCATGGCCTGTTTATAGAGTGCTGGACTCTTGGTTCTAATGATTAGGTTCAAATTCTGCAACCTAACTACCAACAAAAATAACAGGAAAGGGTATCTAAATGCGAACATGAGTGAAGTTTGCTTTGAAATCAGGTTGATATAAAGGTTTGCCAAATCAAAATTGATATTAAAATGTACAAAAACAATGGCATTAATGATGAATCAAAATCACCCATTGAAGAAACAAATTCGCATATCCAAAAGTACTATAATTAACCAAAAATCATGACAATGACAAAATCAAAATGGATTTAAAGTTCAGCTTGTCATTACCTTATTCAAAGGCCAAATAAAGATAGACCCACCACCAAATGAACCATGCCTGTTACTTTGAGAAGCAACAAGGAACTGGTTCCTCAAACACAACAGCCCATGAGGAGCAGCAGCACAGGTGGGAATATGAAGAAGTTGCTCCCCGGTTTTCATGTCCCATATAGTTATCCCAACTCCCGTACTCCTATCACTACAAACCACCAAAGCCTCTTCATTCTTGCCCATCTCCATCAATAAGAATAACTGACAGACACAAATGTATATATATACATATATATAGTTGGCAAACATCAAAGGTTTGCAATTGCATGTCAGGTGAGAATGACGCTTGGCTTAAGAAGTTTGTGAAAGGTGACAAAGTTAGTTGGGGGACAACTTTTTGCTCCTTCCTGAAAAGAAGTTGCATTTATGCAGGTGTTGTTCATGCAACAACTGATGTGTCATTTATAAAAATAATAATAAAAAATAAAACAAAAAACAACTGATATATCGGTTCAGTTATATCTAAATCAAGATAAAAAAAAATCAAAATAAGAGTATAATATATATCTTTTAACAAATGAGACGCTTAAGGATAAAAAAAAAATTATAAAAGTTAAAAATTATAAATATCAAAATTTGAAATATGTTGAATGTCATCATGATTATATGAACAATTGAATTAAGTCTTAAGTTTATACAATATTTTTAATTAATAAAATATATTCAAAATCTGAATTTAATTTATCCTCTTATTTTAATTTGATAGTTTTTAATCCATCTACTTCAATTTTAATAAATGTAATCTCATATTTTTATTAAAAATCAATTTAAAAACAAATGATAAATATTTATCATTTATTTAGTCATGTGATTTTTTTATGACACATATGTCAATTTAATTTTTTTTGGCTACACGACACACATTAACAAAAAAAAAGACTTTTATTTTCAATGAAAATATTAAAAAATATATTTTTTTGCCAAAAAAATTTTGTTTAAAATATAAATTATTAATTATTAATTAAAATAATATATATATATATATATATCTTTTTAACTAATGTGTGTTGTTAGCTTTAAATTGATTTTTATTTTTAAATGACAAAAATTAAGTTAAATAGTTTGATTAAACATTTTAAAAGATTTATTTAATACAACATATTTAATTTCCTTATTAAATAAAACCTAGACTTTTAAATTGATATTCTTTTTTTGGTAGAAAGACCGTTGCAACTTGAGACAATGAAAAAAATATTAGTGTTGGGATTCGTATCTCATATTTAATAAATGTTACTTTATAAAAATAACTTCGTAAATGCTTTCATTTAAGTAGTTCCTGTTAGATATCTTAGAATCAGAATCATATACATCTGCGTAGCAGTAATGGCTAGTTTACTTGTGATATTTTCTTTAAAAGATAATATTATTATTATGCCTTTAGCCCATGTCATAACTTCTCTCTTTCCTATTTACTTGTCTGCTAGTTCATATGGTAGTGTGTGTGAATCATATTTTTATAGCAGATTGAGGTGTAATATGTTCTTTGACGGCGTCTTATAATTTTAAATCATAAGTAGTCAGTTATAGATGCAGGTTTTCTTTTATATAAAAATAATGTAGTATTTGTTTTATTTGGATAACATACTCTAACCCCTTTTCTCAGGATTGATGAGAAAACCTGGTGATCTATGGGACTTAACTATGGTGGCTGTTGATTCTCAGGACGCTGCAATATTGGTCACAATAATACTTGATTTGTGGCGCATCTTTGTTGGACCTATTGTTTCACTAGCAAATACAAGACAATGCGTTCAACCAGGACTGCCATGGTTTGCACGAAGTGCAAATGTAGCTTCACAAATCCAATGTGCAAAATAGGACAACTCTTGGTTCAAATCCTCATACGAGTAGGGGACAGTGCTCGGGTCCTAGATTTTGTGGTTAATGTTCCTCAGTTGGGTAATTGGTTGATGCATATCTCATCCCTGCTGGATATGTGATTGGTTGATGAACTGATTCAGTGATATGTTTATGTGCCATTCATGGTGTATTTGCAAGAAAATTGTGAACTCGAAAACAATCTGAGCTCATTGTAATGGAAGTTATGCCAACTTGTTGCCAAAATCAATCTAAGCTTATTGTCTTGATGCTTTTGCTTGTTTTTAAAATAGTTTTTTCATATCTGAAGAGGCTAGTTTTAATACTTAGGAATTAGGATGTGGTGGAGTTGTCTATGCTATTTTTATAAAAGAGTTCGAAATCTAAAAATAAAAAAAAAATTATAAATATTAATTCAAATTCAAAATTTAAATTTAATAAATATTTTTTTTTATGATTATATAAAATAATTGAATCAAGTTTTGGATTTTCTTTTTATTAACCCTTTCTTTCTCCGTGTAAACGTGCACAAATTGACATTGAGATGCATAAATGTCTAGTAAAGAACATTAATCTCATTTTTTAACCCCACTTGCCAACTATTTTGTCATCACGACTCAATCACTCATGACATCAAACTCGCCCGACGAAGTTTCTTTTTTAGTTTTTCCTTCAACCAAACCAAATACACGCAATTCTCAATATATATCGTAATATTTACTAAAATATAATTAAATTTGGATTGAAAACAAAGAAAAGTTCGATTTGATCGTTAAATTAAATAGTTTTTTATGTATATTTTATTGGCACTTTAAAATAAGATGCATTGAATAAAAAATTTAATTATTAATTTATATTAATTTTATTCATATTTTAAACAATAATTATTTTAATATAAATATATTATTATTTATAAAAATCATTATTATACAAAAAATTATAATTATTTGAATAAAAATTTATGAATATTCATTTATTATAAATATATCTTTTAAAATTTTGTTATATTTTAAAGGTATAATTGAGTTTAGAAAAACATTTATCACGCTTCAAAATTAATTTTTTTTAATTATTTATTCTCTTATATTTCTTTTCTCTAATACATATGAACTTGTCTGTAACGTCTCTATTTCGTCCTGGCTTCTTTTTGAGATGCCGTTTACGTGAAAACTGATAAACCAATAATTTCAACTTAATTATTTCCCGTTTTGTCATCTTCTTCTTCATCGTTTGAACACTTTTTCTTGATTTTCACAAATTCACAGCACTTTCTTCTTCATATCATAGATAAGTCGGTTCATGACTGCAGGCAGTCGAGGGACACGGCTTTGACAGGTGCTTGAAATCTTATCTCTATATATAAAATTTCGACTACCCATTTCTGCAGATACAAAGCCTGCAATCTTTGCGTATTCCCCAAGCTTTAATTTCCTTCCTTGTTCTTGTATTATATATAACCATATCTTTTCCATGCAAAAGAAGAGAATTACTGTTTGAATCCAAAACTTTCCATTGTTTCCGATCACCCAAGCTTTTTTTTCTGTGACAGTTCTTTTTTCTTGAGGTTGCCTGATATATTTGCAGTGTGAAATATGATGAGAAGTGAAGAATATGAACGAGTTCTTCGATATTTCGACAAAGATGGAGATGGGAAAATTTCAGCGGCAGAGTTAAGCCATAGACTAGGCCAGATGGGTGGAGAGCTACTGTTAAATGAAGCAAAAGATGCAGTGGAAGCATTGGACTCGAACGGGGATGGGTTGTTGGATTTGGAGGATCTAATAGGGTTGATGGAAGAAGGAGGAGAAGAAGAAAAGTTGAAGGATTTGAGAGAAGCTTTTGGGATGTATGATGTTAATGGATGTGGGTTCATCACACCTCAAGGACTCAAGAGAATGCTCAGCAAACTTGGGGAGTCAAAGTCAATTGATGACTGTAAGGTGATGATCAAGCAATTTGACCTCAATGGAGATGGTGTTCTCAGCTTTGAGGAATTCAAAGTTATGATGCAGTGATTTTCTTTTCTTTTTACCCTTTTCATTGCTTTCATTTTCTGATGATCAATTTGTTCTTTGGGATTCATCATCATTGCACTATATATATATTCTTGTAATTATTTATTATTGTTCACTAGTTAAATTACTGAATTTCTTACATTCTTCTCCATTTTCTCTTGTCTTGGAAAGATTAAAACAAACCAGCTTTTTTCTAATATTTTGCTATCATTAATGAAAGTTAAGCCTCTATGAAACTTTGTACCATATATTGTTCTACTTCTTCCTTTGTTTGGTGAGTTAGAAATGAAGGTTTTTGAAGGTGAAATTCGTAAAAAAATTTTTATTAAGAATCATCCAATAAAAATATTAATAAAAGATCTAAATTGATAGATCATCTTATATCTCCCTCTTCTCCAGGAAGAAAGTTTCAGGTTTGTTGCTTGATTAGCAGCTTCCTCTTGCTCAAATTGAGGTTCAGCCGAAAGGAAAGATGCAACAAAGATATTCTTGCATAACATTGAAGATATCAGCAGCAGCAAATCCATTTGACATGATAGCAATAGTTATATCTTATAATGTCCTGAGGAGAAAAAAGATAGATGAAAGAAAGTTCAAAATTCAACATCCTCATTAATTTTTTTAAGCCGAGAAGTGAGCCTGTGGACTGAGATTGCTCCTCTAGTATTCCTGGATTTTCAGTCTGGAGTGTGTCTCTTTTTCTTTGGAGGCGACTCTGCTTCATGAGGGAATAGCCATCTGCATTGCATCATGTCCAGCAAACGAGACTGCAAATGCTTATTCATTTCCATTACATGCTTTGTCATGCTTGTAACCCACATTCGATCTTCTATGCTCTTCTCCAGTTTCATTTGCATCATTGCTGGTGTTTGTTCTCGCTGCCCAAGAATCCAAAACAACATGATGATCAAATCTACCACAGTCCACACAACATATGTTTCAGTAATTTCCACAACTAGTAACAGAATATCAAGTAACTACACTTTTGTGACTTTTATTGTTCCTTGCATAAGGGGCAAAGATGCATCTAAAATTCTACAGATTAAATGCTGCACTTATATCGTTATGCGCCAAAATAAACCAGGCATGAGAGACAGAGAGGGAGAGGGAGAGGGAGAGAGACCTCTGAATCCAATATTAAGTGGTCTAGCAAATTGTTTCCCTGGAAATTGGTTGCAGTTTGCTTGTTGAGGCAAGCCGACAAAGAGAGCAAAGGAACCATTCCCTTGCCCGAGTTGGAAGGCTGAGGATACTTTTGGAGCAAAGAAACACGAAACTGATTGGGAACTCTTCGATGGTTTGACATCGAAAACAATGCAGACTGATTAATCACTACCATATTAGTCACTGCACCTGTTCACAATTGAAACTAACATTAGAGCTGAAAAAATTTCAATTCTTTATTCTGTCATCTGGATTTGTACCAAAGCTGAACAGTGAAAATGTGACATTTTTGTTGTTGTTTTTCTATTCTGCATTTTTATTGCAAAACTGAATAAAAACCATATCAAAAGAGAGGAGAATCCTTCAGGAAATGAAATGTAGTAATATTTACCTTTCTTATGGTTGAATCTTCTGATAACCACCCTGTTGATTGTATCCCAAAGGCAGAAGGTGAAATCCTCCGATGCAGATATCAAACCAAATCCACTGAAAGTCAATGTAGTTATAGATCCACTGCAAATAATATTGGATTATTTAAGTCTCTTCATAGGATTTCATATGTACATACAAATACTTGGGCAAAATGCAGTGATGATTACTACAAGAACAACTTTAATGCCAAATCAACAGAAGCCTTCTATAAATTTCAGTCTCCAGGAGAATTTAAGAAATTTCCAGCACCATACGTTACGCGTTACTTGTGTCCTTTTAGCTAAAATGCTTGATCTTCAGTAGTGACGAGAGGATCCCCAACTAATCCGAGATCAAGCACATTAACAAATATTTTACCGTCTACACTACCAGAAAACAGTAGCTGCTCTACCGGATGATGAGTGTTTGCTGTTATTGATGTTGGATAAACATGAGTTTGTAAAAGCTTTCCTGAAACTAGGTCCTAAACCTGCTAATAAGCAACGCGTCGCCCTTGGATAAGAAAAGTTGCAACACAGAAGATATAATCAAGTGAAGTGTGAGCAGTAATGCAGTTTTTAACAGACCTTGCATGTTCCATCCAGAGAGCTTGATACGAAAATGTAATGTGCACCAGCTGACATAGTCACTAAACCAGTTATGGAAGATCTGTGTTCTGATGAGTAATGTAGCGAAGGAGGTAAACTTACCGAATCTTCCACATCTAGCAAACTTTAATCAAATTGGTCAGATTGAGGCATCTATGATTAATTTTCTAGTTTAATCAAATAAATTTGGTTGGAGTCAGGAGCAAAGGGGAAAGGAATCAACAGAAAATTTTTAGTGTTTACCTAATCATTGACCAAACACAGATTATTCCATCAGTAGAAGCACAAATAAGAAGCGAATCATCATCAGAAAAGACCATACACTTCAAAGACTTATGATGAGCACGCCGTGTTCTTAGCAATCTTCCGTTAGCAACCTTATCGGTTTCATCATATCAGAAAAATGCTTGGATGGTGTTCTTTTATGCCTAAATGAAGTTGATCCACTAGCTGTTCGATTTTAGCACCAAATTTTGAATGATTGATGCAACATGCAAACAACTACAACTACAACATTTTAATATAGCCTAGATGACTTTGTTGTTTAAGGCACTATAGCTGCTGAAATAAAAATTCCCTAAAAGGAATTCATCAGATGAAATGTGGGATTGATGGTTCTTTTTTGCCCTTATGGACAAGAGGAGAGTGGTACTTACCTCCCAGAGATAAGCATTCCCGGAAGAAGCTCCACCTGCAATATATATGCCATCCTTTGTGCAAGAAAGGGGGAAAATAGCCTCCATTGTGAGTGGTGATTGAGGCTGAAGATATGAGGGGACAAAAGTATGTCACATGGAGCTTCTTATATGATATGACAGTTGCTTTTTGAGGATATACAACTGCTTATAACTACGACATAAAAAGGGAAATACAAAAATCATTCAGAATGGCCACAACAAATCCCTCTAATGGCTTATAAATTAGCAATACGTTCTGGCTTTGTTTACTGGCAATCTTCAGAATATCAGCTGCCTTCACAATTCACATTTCCAACAACAAAGAATTATATATGTACAAAAATTGAAATAACAGAAACAATGTCAAAATCAATTTCATGAATTCTTTTAGGTAGAGTAGAGGGGATTAAGAAGAATCAGGAAAAACAAGGGAAAGGTGGAGTTATTCAACTGGGAGCGGGATTAATAATAGGAAGGATATCCGCCAAGACCCGCGTGGCCTGTTCATAGAGTGCTGGACTCTTGGTTCTAATGATTACGTTCAAATTCTAACAAGCTAACTACCAACAAAAAGAACAGAAAAGGGTATCCAAATGCGATCATGAGTGAAGTTTGCTTTGAAATCAAATTGATATAAAGGTTTGCCAAATCAAAATTGATATTAAAATGTACAAAAACAAAGGCATTAATGATGAATCAAAATCACCCATTGAAGAAACAAATTCCCATATCCAAAAGACTACTATAATTAAGCAAAAATCATGACAATGACCAAATCAAAAATGGATTTAAAGTTCAGCTTGTCATTACCTTATTCAAAGGCCAAATAAAGATAGACCCACCACCAAATGAACCATGCCTGTTACTTTGAGAAGCAACAAGGAACTGGTTCCTCAAACACAACAGCCCATGAGGAGCAGCAGCACAGGTGGGAATATGAAGAAGTTGCTCCCCGGTTTTCATGTCCCATATAGTTATCCCAACTCCCGTACTCCTATCACTACAAACCACCAAAGCCTCTTCATTCTTGCCCATCTCCATCAATAAGAATAACTGACAGACACAAATGTATATATATATACATATATATAGTTGGCAAACATCAAAGGTTTGCAATTGCATGTCAGGTGAGAATGACGCTTGGCTTAAGAAGTTTGTGAAAGGTGACAAAGTTAGTTGGGGGGACAATTTTTTGCTCCTTCCTGAAAAGAAGTTGCATTTATGCAGGTGTTGTTCATGCAACAACTGATGTGTCATTTATAAAAAAAAATAAAAACAAAATACAACTGATATGTCGGTTCAGTTGCATCTAAATCAGGACAAAAAAAAATATAAGAACAAGAGTATAATATATATTTTTAACAAATAAGACGCTTAAGGATAAAAGAAAAAATTATAAAAGTTAAAAATTATAAATATCCAAATTTGAATATAAATATGTTGAATATCATCATGATTATATGAACAATTGAATTAAGTCTTAAATTTATACAATATTTTTAATTAATAAAATATATTCGAAATATGAATTTATAGTTTATCCTTTTATTTTAATTTGATAATTTTTAATCCATTTACTTCAATTTTAATAAATGTAATCTTATAGTTTTATTAAAAGTCAATTTAAAAACAAATGATAAATATTTATCATTTATTTTTTGTCATGTGCTTTTTTTATGACGCGTTTGTCAATTTAATTTTTTTTTTATTACACGGCACACATTAACACAAAAAAAAACTTTTATTTTCAATGAAAATATTAAAAAAATATTTGTTTAGAATATAAATTATTAATTATTAATTAAAATAAAATATAAATTTTTTAAACTAATGTGTGTTGTTAGCGTTAAATTGATTTTTATTTTTAAATGATAAAATATTAAGTTAATAACTTGATTAAACATTTTGAAAGATTTTTTTAATACAAAATTTTTAACATATTTAATTTACCTATTAAATAAAACAACTTTATACAATGAAAAAAATTATTGGAATTAGGATTTGAACTTCATACTTATTAAATATTATTTTTTAAAAATAATTATATAAAATGTTTTCATTTAAACAGTTCCTATAAGATATTTTAAGATCCGAATCACATATATTTGAATGGTTAGAGGGGATAATGGTTCGGTATGGATCAAATTTGGTTCAATTTTTTTGGATATTAAATAACATAATAAAATTTTCAAATTTGATCCAAATCCAAATCCAAATCGAACCTTCATTAGATCCAATCAAATCAAACCGAATTTTACTGATTCGGTTTGATTCAGTTTACTGATTTTTAATTTTTAATTTTAATATAAAATTTTAATATATTTAAGTAAATTTTGATATAAAATTATTTTTTTTATTTTATAAATATTTAAAATATATATAAAAACTAAGAAAAATATATAATTCGGTTCATTTATTTTTAGTTTTTTACTTCTCGATCCGAACCTAATATATATATATTTAATATCCGAATTTAATTCAAATTGAATAACAAAAAAACTGATCTAAACCAATCGAATATTACAATTTTGAATCAATTTTTGAATTTCTCATTTTTTTTCTCACCCATATGCGTAGCAATAAAGACCCGTTTACTTATGATATTTTCTTTAAAAGATAATATTATTATTTTGCCTTTAGCCCATGTAATAACTTCTCTGTTTCCTGTTTACTGGTCTGCTAGTTCATATGATAGTGTCTAAGAATCATATTTTTATAACAGATTGAGGTATAATATGTTCTTTGAAGGTGTCTTATAATTTTAAATGATAAAGAGTCAGTTATAGATGCCGGTTTTCTTTTATATACAAATAATGTAATATCTGTTTTATTTGGATGATATAGTCTAACCCCTTTTCTCAGGATTGATGAGAAAACCTGGTGATCTATGAGACTTACCTATGGTGGCTGTTGAATCTCTTGGCGCTGCAATGTTGGTCACAATAACACTTGATTTTTGGCGCATCTTTCTTGGACCTATTGTTTCACGAGCAAATACAAGACAATGCATTCAACCAGGACTGCCATGGTTTGCAGGAAGTGCAAACGTAGTTTCACAAAACCAACGTGCAAAATAGGACAACTCCTGGTTCAAATCCTCGTACGAGTAGGGGACAGTGCTCGAGTCCTGGATTTTGTGGTTAATGTTCATTAGTTGCGGTGATTGGTAGATGCATATCTGATCCCTGCTGGATATGTGATTAGTTGATGAACTGATTCAGTGATATGTTTATGTGCCATTCATGGTGTATTTGCAAGAAAATTGTGAACTCGAAAACAATCTGAGTTCATTGTAATGGAAGTTCTGCAAACTTGTTGCCTAAATCAATCTAAGCTTATTGTCTTAATGCCTTTTGCTTGTTTTTAAAATAGTTTTTCCATATCTGGAGAGGCTAATTTTAATACTCAAGAATTTATTAAATATTATTTTTTGATGATTATATAAAACAATTGAATCAGATTTTTTGTTTGTAAACTCTTTCTTTCTCCATGAAAACGCGCACAAGTTGACATTGAGATGCATGAAGGGTAAAGATTATTAAAGTCATTTTTCAACCCCACTTGTTAGCTATTTTGTCATCATGACTCAATCACTCATAAGACTAAACTCGTCTGAAGAAATTTTCTTTTCAGTTTTTCCTTCAACCGACCAAATACACGCAATTCTTAATATATGTCGAAAATTTTACTAAACTATAATTAAATTTGGATAGGATAAAAAAAGAAGTTCGTTTTGACCGTTAAATTAAATAGTATTCTATGTATATTTTGTTGGTAGTTTATAGTACGATGCATTCTATATTAAATATAAAATTTTAATTATTGATGAAAAATTTTAAATTTTATATTAATTTTATTCATATCTTAAATAATTATATTCGAATAAAAATAATTATTATATGATAAATAATCATAACTATTTAAATATAAATAGATTATTTTTCATAAAGATTATGATTATACAAAAAATCATAATCATTTACATAAAAAATTATATCTATTCATTTATTATAAATAGATATTTCATTATAATTATTTATAAAAAATATTTTTCACATCTTAAAACTAAAATTTTTTTAATTATTTTTATTCTCTTATTTATGTTTTCTAACGCATTTAAACTTATTGTCCCTAGTGTCTCTATCCTGCCTTCCTTTTGAGAGCTGTTTACGTGAAAACTGAGAAACTAATAATTTCAACTTATTTCCCATTTTGTCATCTTCTTCTTCATCGTTTGAACACTTGATTTTTCACAAATTCGCAGCACTTTCTTCTTCATATCATAGATAAGTCGGTTCATGACTGCAGGCAGTCGAGGGACACGGCTTTGACAGGTGCTTGAAATCTTATCTCTATATATAAAATTTCGACTACCCATTTCTGCAGATCCAAAGCCTGCAATCTTTGATTATTCCCCAAGCTTTAATTTCTTTCTTTGTTCTTGCATATATATATAACCAAATTTTTTCCATGCAAAAGGAGAGAATTACCGTTTGAATCCAAAACTTTCCATTGTTTCCAATCACCCAAGCTGTTTTTTTGTGACAGTTCTTTTTTCTTGAGGTTGCCTGATAGATTTGCAGTGTGAAATATGATGAGAAGTGAAGAATATGAACGCATTCTTCGATATTTCGACAAAGATGGAGATGGGAAAATTTCAGCGGCAGAGTTAAGCCATAGACTAGGCCAGATGGGTGGAGAGCTACCGTTAAATGAAGCTGAAGTTGCAGTGGAAGCATTGGACTCGAACGAGGATGGATTGTTGGATTTGGAAGATCTAATAGGGTTGATGGAAGAAAGAGGAGAAGAAGAAAAGTTGAAGGATTTGAGAGAAGCTTTTGGGATGTATGATGTTAATGGATGTGGATTCATCACACCTCAAGGACTCAAGAGAATGCTCAGCAAACTTGGGGAGTCAAAGTCAATTGATGATTGTAAGGTGATGATCAAGCAATTTGACCTCAATGGAGACGGTGTTCTCAGCTTTGACGAATTCAGAGTTATGATGCAGTGATTTTTTTTTTCTTTTTACCCTTTTCATTGCTTTGCATTTTGATGATCACAATTTGTTCTTTGGGATTCATCATCATTGCAATATATATAAATATATATATTTATATTCTTGAAATTATTTATGATTGTTTACTAGTTAAATTACTGAATTTCTTACATTCTTTTCTCCATTTTCTCTTGTCCTGGAAAGATTTAATCAAACCAGCTTTTTTCTAATAATTTGCTAGCATTAATGAAGGTTAAGCCTAAATATGTCTCAAATCCGCCAATGACAAACAGAAAGCAGGTCAAAAACCAAACCATGCTGCGGGTTTGCCAAAGCTTTCAATGTCAAACAACTGTAATTGATGTAGGTTTTTCAGAGGAATAATCTTTTATTCTTCCAAATTGGGCAGCTGGGTAAAATCCAAAATTGCTTTTGCCCTTGTTTCTTTCTTCAACTGCGGTAAACTTCCAGACTAAGAAATGAAGTTACCTAGTGGCCAATAGGGTCATCAGTTTCAAATCTCAGCCTTTCCACTGCGGAACCAATGACAAGTTCCCAGAACATAGGTATGCATCGATGAAAATCATTGTTGAATGCTTTTGGTTCATGAAGTAAAATTTGTATTTCATTTCAACTATGATTTTTTTTTTTTTGGTGAAGCAAAGATGGTCCAAGTACAAAGTCAAGGCACATCCATTAGTAATCCCAACCAAGAACCTGCACCAGCAGAGGAGAAAAAAGAACTTTTGAAGCTCTTTGAGGATCCCTTTTGGAGTGATCTACTAGTTCAACATCATAATGTTCTACCAATCTGCAGGGCGAAAGACAAGTCAAAATCTAAGGAGAAAAACAGACACACACAGGCACAGATACTCGCTAGCTGTTGCTTCTCAAGGTCTTGGAGTGACCAAATGCCCACTGGTGATGAAGAATAACCAACCCTTTCAATCTATTTCTAATCTTCTGGTTCACTTGCACACAAGCAGTGTAAAATTGGAGGCTTATTTTTTTGTAAAAGGAGAATTGATCAGAGGTCCCTGATATAAGCCATGGATTAGATAAAAACTTTGTAAATTTGAGAAATTGATTTGTTATACCTAAGTGGCCAGGTCAGTTAATTGCCACATTTATCATGACTTACGGCCGTTCAATTAATCACATCATCACTTATGAGGTATAAAAGGTTGGATGAGAGTAACAGATTTACTACACTACCCCTTTCTGCTTCTCCTCCTCTCGCACACAATTATTAACTTGTGCATTGAAAAGTGCCCCATAGCCTCAATTCCAAGGCCCATGATCTTCTCCTTTTTGACAGATCTGATACGGTCACCAGCCCATCCTCAACCGTCAACAAGCTCTTTATGCACCAGATCGAAAGTGGCATCAACACAATTAATATTGACATTCCACTTGAAATGCAAATTGAAGACATCTTCAACAGAATATTACAGGACAACTCTACGTATCACCTGTCTGGCTAACATTGGATAGTACTGTTAGACTAGAACAAATATTTTTTACCACCAAAACTTCGAAATTCTTATCTTGGAACATTGTTTTTGTTAATGGTTTCATTCCATGTGAAAAGTCCCATGGAATAAAGTATTGGAATTGAAAGAATAAAATTAACACCATACTTCAACCTCGTAATCATATAAGCATATTTGCATAAATGAATTCACTTTAATGGAAATCAAAGCATCAAGCATATTGCTCTCCAAAAGAGTTTATGGTAAGAGGAACTAGCGTAAACCGATTGCTCAATATCAAGCATTTATGCCTGCCGTCGAATCTTTCTAAAAATCCCTGAAGCATCCGCTTGCGCCCTACGCCGTGATCACGTTAAAACATGAGATGCTTTGTCAATAGCAAAATCCCAAGATAAGTTTCATTTTCGGATAAAAAACAGAAAGCCGAAATCAAGACGCCGTCTTCAATCATGGATCACGTAATGCAAGCAGCCTCCGGCGCTCATTTCTCAGGTTTGCGGCCTGAAAGTTTCCATTCGGCTAAGAGTGCACCACAGCTGGTTGAACATAATGCTCCCAAACAACCTTTCCTTATTGGTATATTTATTAACTAATCCTAACGCTTGAATTGATTATATTTTTCTCTTTTTTTTTTTTTTCCTGTTTTCTGGTTTTGTTTTCAATGCATGAATGTTTGGTACATTTGGCTGCTGAGAAAACAAGGGAAACAAGTGGACAACTTTCAGTTTTTAGAAGACAAATGAACTTAAAAAGTGTAACCAAGAGCGAGGCTGATTCAAATTAAAGCCTTCAGTTTGATTCTCCTGCATCTTCTCATTAGCCAAACAAATCACCAGGAGAAATGTGAATGGTGGATGTGGGGGGAATCTTTCTTCTTTTTTTTTTTTAATTTTTTGTTTCAATTTATTAATTGTTTTTTTAAAAAACTGATCTCAGGGGTCTCAGGAGGAAGTGCATCAGGCAAAACAACTGTGTGCGACAAGATCATACAGCAACTTCATGACCATAGAGTTGTACTTGTCAATCAGGTTTCAAACGAAATCTGTGGCTCAAGTACAGAAGCTTAAATTGACATTAGAGTTGGTTACTAGGGTCTGAAAAAACAGCCAAGCCAGTGCCAAACCCATCCTCAGTCACATTCTAATTTCTAGGATTTATTTAAAGATTGAGAAACAAATATTAGAAAGGTTAATCCTTTGCATGTTAAATATTTTAGGATTCATTCTACCGCGGATTAACAGATGAGGAAGAGAAATGTGCGCATGAATTTAATTTTGATCATCCTGGTAAGTTACTAAACATTGATTCAACAGATTGTCTTCTTGTTCTTGTACTGAAACGTGTACATGAATTTGTACCTAAGTCTCTTGGTGGTTTTTTCTATAGATGCATTCGACACAGAACAACTGTTGGAATGTATTTTCAAGCTTAAATCTGGTCAATCTGTTCATGTTCCAATATATGATTTCAAGAAGCATCGGCCTCGCTCTGACAGTTTCAGACAGGTAATCCATATATCATGCTCAAATATATTTGGCTTGTGAAATGCCCAGATGTTAGGATTCTTGTATTTCCCATGGATGTAAATTGTAATAGTTGCAGTTTAACTTATGCTAGCTAGTTCATGTCTCAATTACACCATATCCAACTATTTTCTTGACTGTCAAGTCATTGAATCAGTATTAGTTTTTTTGGTGACTCAATTTTGGTATGCAGAGGCCTTATTTTGGTTTTTTTTTTTTTTTTTTTGCCTTTCTGATGGCTAATTTTGTCAGGTCAATGCATCAGATGTGATAATTTTGGAGGGGATATTGGTACTTCATGATCAACGCGTTCGTGAATTGATGAACATGAAGATCTTTGTTGATGCTGGTCTCTTTTTTTCTTTCAAATCAAAACTTTAGCATTGTTAAATTTTATTGGCTGATCTTTCATATTTGCCTGTCAGGCTGTCAGGTATCACGGCAAAATGAAATAGCTAAAACATAAACAAATTCCTGAAGATTAGCCAGAGAAACTTTTCATGAACTATGCCTGTGGCGGGCAACTAATAAATCTGATTTCATCTGTTCAGTTCTATTAAAGTAGATTTCTCAATCCTGCTGAATTCAAGTGCTCAAAGACTCATGCATAATCTGCATAATCTTCTTTCTTATGAATTTCAGCGTATTCTGGTCTTCTTCTCTGTTTCACAATCCCTTGTTGATCTTATGCTTCATGTAGATGCTGATGTGAGGCTTGCCCGCAGAATAAATCGTGACACTGTTGAGAGGGGCAGAACTTTACAATCTGTTCTTGAACAGGCAAGCATGTATTCTATTATGAATTTAAGACATTGGAAGTTGAAAATGGTAAGAAACTGGAGTCTAGCTCACTTAGTTTATGCAGAGGTGGCATTAAGTAGGTCTGGATTTCAAATCCTAACACCTGCAACCACTTCTCCAATTCCCAGGTTGGGAGCAGCATCGGAAATTCCTAGGGAAAAAAACTTATGAACCAAATATATAGTAGCTCACAAAATAAACTAAGAGAACCAAATCCTGATGGACAATCAAAGCCTTTAAGTAATTTACTTGATTGTGCAGTATGGTAAGTTTGTGAAACCAGCTTTTGATGATTTTATTCTGCCATCGAAAAAGTTCGCTGATGTTATCATACCCCGGGGTGGTGAGAATCATGTAGCAATTGATTTGATTGTGCAACATATTCGTACAAAGCTTGGTCAGCACAATCTCTGCAAAATATATCAAAATGTGAATGTGATTCAATCAACATTCCAGGTATTGATCATAAACAAAGCCATATCATATCATCATTGGTATCATTGATGTCGCATTTTCATGCTTCTTGAGTGCACTAAAAATGATGCTTCATCATATGTTTTTACTGCTTTTATCTAATGCTTCAACATCCTTACAGATCAGAGGCATGCACACTCTTATTCGTGACAGACAAATAAATAAACACGATTTTGTTTTTTATTCAGACCGGCTAATACGACTGGTATGTTATGCTATTCCATTGCAGTATGTCAGAAGAAAATATTTGTTCCATTTTGTATCAGAAATTCTAAGCATGAGGATCTGAATTGTAAATATTTCAGGTGGTAGAGCATGGACTTGGATACCTGCCATTCACTGAGAAACAAGTGATCACTCCTACAGGTAATGATTGAATGAAACAAGCGTAGTTTGACTTTTTTTTTTTTTTTGGCGTATAAGTTTAAGGTGAGGGGAAGCTCTTCGTTCCAGAATCCGGTCGAATCATTGGCAGATCACCCTTTAAAAGGGATTGTTGGTAACTAAATTCCAACTTGAATCTTACAAGCGAAATATTCGACTCTTACCAACTCAACCAACCGTGATTGGCATTCAACTTGCTATCTGGGCTTGAAACCCTAAAAGCTTAGAGTAATATTTTATTCCCATCTTTATTGGCTAGCCACATAATGCTAGCAGGAAAACTGCAATTCTTTTTTATATTGCAATACTAAACCTGGGTTTCAAATATGTTTATATGTTTATTATGCTGTCTCAGGATCTGTATACGCTGGAGTTGAATTCTGCAAGAAACTGTGTGGAGTATCCATTGTTCGAAGGTGAGGCAAAATTCCAGTTTTATGTTATCTGAATTTCTCTCCAAGATGTTGATTTATTATACTTCATTTCCTTAATTCAAGCTACGGTTTGCAGTGGTGAAAGCATGGAGAATGCACTGAGAGCTTGCTGCAAAGGGATCAGAATTGGGAAAATCCTCATCCACCGCGGAGGTGATGATGGAAAACAGGTGACCTTTATCTGTAGAATTGGAATTCATCCATACTTTCCCCTTGCTTTCAGAAACCATTCTTACGGGAACTTAGCATCTGCCATTTTGGACAGCTGATATATGAGAAGCTACCCAAAGACATTTCTCAAAGGCATGTACTGCTTTTGGATCCTGTTCTGGCAACAGGTAAAGCAAACTGTCTGATCCCATCTTTAGAGAAAAGGGTGACAAAAGGAGGCTTTTCCATCTTTTTCAGGTAACTCTGCCAAGCAGGCAATTCAACTTCTCCTGGAGAAGGATGTTCCAGAGTCGAAGATAATATTTCTTAACCTCATCTCTGTGAGTTTCCTTGGGTTCTGGCTTTCATGATTTTGGGATTTTAACCTTAAAAAATATGTATTAATGGAAGTGTTACAACCAACTAATTTTCAGGCGCCAGAGGGAATACATCGTGTATGCAAACATTTCCCGTCTGTAAAAATTGTGACATCGGAGATAGATATTGCATTGAGTGATGAATTCCGAGTTATACCAGGGATGGGTGAGTTTGGTGATCGATACTTTGGCACCGATGATTTTTCGTTGCCAATTCAAGATGATTGACTGTTGTAATTAATATTTTTATATCTATATAATGACATAGTATAGATTTTTAAGAATTAAAAGTTCTAAAATATAATTTATTTTAATTTATTGTTAAGGACTTGTCAATTTTTATATTTACTAAGGATGTGATAATTCGTGATTCACTTACAGTATATTAAATTTATACATTATAACAAATATAAATTCATTTTGAAATTTGACATGTATGTCAATAAGAAAATTTTTTTTTATCATTTTTCCCTCTTCTAAATAAGTCCTATTATACAAGGACTGGAATATAGGAAAATTTTATCTATTATTTTTTTATTACAATATAATTGTCTAATTACAACAAAAAAAATTAAAATTATGTAAAAATCGATATGAGCTCTATAACAAACCCTACACAATTTATATTATTATAGACTAATTATAACATAATGATTATAGATGATATACTCTCATTGAAATAAAATTATACAACAACACACTAAGCCTTATATCTCGTATTCTGAAGCCGACTTTATAAAAAACCAAATAAAGGAATCATGTTAAGTTGTAGTTCGAATTTTCTTGCGCAATTTATTTTAATTAATGACAACATTTTCATCTAATTCCTTAATCATCATATCGTTTTTTATTATTCGCTTCCATGTCTTTTGCGGTCTACCTCTAGCGATTTTGATCTCTCCTAGATTTAGAGACTTAATTCTTCTAACCAGTGCATAACTAATCTTACGTTTCACATGTTCAAACCATTACAAACGACATTCTCTTATCTTCTTTTCAATTCGAACTACACCTAATTTTTCTCAAATCTCTTCATTTTTTATTTCATCTCTTCTAGTCTTACCACACATCCACCTAAACATCATCTATGCTACGTTTATTTTCTTCTCATGTTGTTTCTTAACAGCCTAACACTCGGTTTCATATAGCAATACAAGTCTTACAGTTATTTTATACAACTTTGCTTTCAACTTTAAAGACATGTTGCGATCACACAATACACCGAATGCACTTCGCCATCTCACCCATCTTGCTTGAATCCTATGCTTGACATCCATTTCTATCTTAGTATCACTCAGAATAATTGATCCCAAATATTGAAACTGGTTATTTTATACAACTTTGCTTTTAACTTTAAAGACATGTTGCGATCACACAATACACCTAACGCACTTCGTCATCTCACCCATTCTGCTTGAATCCTATGCTTGACATCCATTTCTATCTTAGTATCACTCTGAATAATTGATCCCAAATATTGAAACTGGTTATTCTTTGGTACTACCTCACCATCAAACTTAGTCACCCTAACACTAGCTTCCCTATGATTACTAAATTTGCATTCCATATATTCAATTTTAGATCTACTCAATTTAAAACTTCGAAACTTCAATGTACTTTATAATTCTAATTTCGCATTAAGGGCATCACTAGTTTTAGAAACTAAGAGTATATCGTCGACAAATAACATACATCATGGTCCCTTATCTTAGATATGTCTAGTGAGCTCAACCATAACTAATGCAAAAAGAAATGGACTCGATGATGAGCCTTGATGTAATCATGAGGTAATGGGGAAGCTACTTGTCATGCCTCCAACCGTCCTCACATTCATTACCATTACTTCATACATATCTTTTAACTATATTGATGTACTTTAAAAGGACTTCTTATTTTATTAAGGGCCACCAAAGCACCTTTCGAAAAGATTGATCATATGCTTTCTCGAAGTCGATAAATACCATATATAGATATTTCTTTCTCACTCAAAAACCCTCCAATAAAAGCCTTAAAAGATGGCTCGCCTCTATTGTGGAACATCTTCGCATAAACACAAACTGGTTTTTAAATAGTGACCTCATGTCATAACCTACATTCAATTACTCTCTGCCAAAGTTTCATAGTATGGCTTATAAGTTTTATTCATCGATAGTTCGAACACTTGTATATCACCTTTAATCTTATATAAATGCACAAGAGTGCTTTTCCTCCATTATTCTAACATCTTTTGAGCATGCCAAATTTTATTGAAAAGATTCGTCAACCATCTTATCCCTATTTCACCCAAGCATGTACAAACTTCAATATAGATTTCATCTGATCCTACATCTTTATTTACTCCCATCCTTCTCAAAGCCTCTTTAATCTCACAGCTTTTAATATTATGCTTAAACACATGATTCACATCCTAAAAAGATACCCCCTATATCATGCTTTAAACTTTTATTAAAGAGACTATCAAAATAATCTCTCCCATCTCTTCTTAATCTCTTCATCCTTCATTAAAACTCTTCTGACATAGTCTTTGATGCATCTAACATCATTAAGATCCCTACTCTTCTTATCCTTCATCTTAGCAATTTTGAACAGTTCTTTTTCTCCATCTTTTGTCTCTAGATTTTTATATTACTCCTCATGGATCCTACTCTTTGAATCTTGAATAGCCTTCTTGGTTTTATTTTTTGTTGTCTTATACTTCAAATAACTTTCATCATCACTATTGTTTCATAAATTCCTATAACACTCCCGCTTAGTTTTAATTGTCATCTTCACATCATTGTTTCACCACCAAGATTCCTTTCCTAATGGTGCACTACCCTTAGATTCGCCAAGTGTCTCTTTAACAACCTTTAAATTTCGATTGTAATATTTTTCCACAACACTTCTACATCCTCATCAAACTTCCACTTAATTTCTTTTAGTAGTCTATCCCTAAATGCTACCATTTTGTCTCCCTTCAAGTTCCACCACTTAATACGTGATTCATGACTCTAATGTCTCTTCTTTAACCTCCTAAGGTCGAATAAATCGAGTACTAACAGTCTATGTTGTATTATCACACTCTCACTCGGTACAACCTTGCAATCTTTATAACTACTACTATCCTCTTTTCTTATAAAAAATACATCGATTTAACTAGCATTTGATCCACTCTTAAATGTCACCAAGTGTGATTCCCTTTTCCTAAAACACGTGTTTAATATGGTTAGAAAATGTAGTAGCAAACTCTAAGATAATATCTTCAATATCATTTCTTTCTCCAAAGCCAATCCTCTAAGTACTTTTTCAAAATCGTTACCATGATTGCCAACGTGACCATTCATGTCTCCACTAATAAACAATTTTTCTCCATATGGTATAGCTCCCACTATCTTGTCTAAATCTTTTCAAAATTTTTGCTTACTCTTTTGATCCAAACCTATTTGCAAGGTGTAAATGTCACGAATCTAAGGAAGAGTCATGAATCCCACATCGAACATAATAAGAGGGTCACTGGGGTATAAAAGGATTCACACCCTCTTCCCCTTGTGAGACACTTTTTATAGGACAAAACCGTATGGCCAGAAGAGTCAGAGCAAATAATACTTCACAAGAGTGTGAATCGTGACGATCAGGTTGATCTAAGATGTCGGATGAGTGGATGCCCAGGTCCTGAAGCTACGCGAGTCAGAGCTTAAGTCTCGGTCCATGACAAATGGCATCAAAATCAACCCTAAACCGTTTGATCCACGCCAAACCCCTCGAGGGAGGTAGAGAGGGTGACCAGCCTCCGTGACGAAAGTGTCACGAGGTTGGGTGGGAAAAAATATCACGGACCTAAAGAGGAGTCCTGAATCCCACATCGAACATTATAAGGTCACTAGGGTATAAAAGGATCCACAACGTCTTTCTCTTGTGAGGTGCCTTTTGTAAAACAAAACCATAAGGCCAAAGAAATTAGAACGGATAATACCTCACAAGAGTGTAAATCGTGACGGTCAAACTGATCTAAGACGCCGGATGAGTGGATGCCCAGGTCTTAGAGCCGCGCGGATCAAAACTTAAGTCTCGACCCGTGACATAAACACTAATGACATTAACAATTTCCTCTTCTAAAATAAGTTTAACAAGTAAATTCTATCTCCCTTTCTTTTAACCTCAACTACATCATCCCTCAAATTCTTATTTACAATTATCCCTACTCCATTTTTACTCTTATCCTTATCTGTGTACCAAAGCTTAGAGCCCAAATCCTCTACTGTATATTACTTCTAGTACGTAAAGTGAACCAAGTTAAACCTTTACAAATAGCAAGTTCAAGGCTTTTCCCCAATTCTCAGTTCTCACTGAAATCTTAATTCGGGGTTTGAGCAAATGGAAATTTTCTATACTAAACAATGAAAATTATCCAAAGATACTATAGCAGCATAATTCTATTGATGGTTTTGGAAGGCAAACTTGGAATATGAAACAATGAAGAATTTTTCACAGCTGGATTAAACTTTCCTGTCATAATACCATATCACGCTTCAAAAATCAAACAGAATAAATCAGTTGGATCTTCAGTCCAATCAAGTGCTTGTTTGAGTATTTTTCCAACCATGTAAATGTGTTCCATTGACAGTTTCATCTACAAGAACACTCTTTTTGGAAATTAAAAAATCTGCTAGCATTACTTATTGATGAATTCCGACAAACACGAAAAAGAATCACTATAAATATATTCACTGCTTTTATGGGATGTTCAATAACTTAAATACAACAAAAAAAAAAAAAAGACATGCTCGTCGTGCCGGTATCAAGGAGACAGGAAATGAAACAAAACAAAAGCAGTGCAACCAAGCCAGAAAATTTGGTAGGTATCACTCAAAATACCAACCATCCCCCAACCTAGCTTGAGAAGTGAGAAACATAACTTAAAACCTATACTTTCATTTTACAGACACAATAGCTTCCCAGAAGAGGCCACATCAAAGCAAAATTACTTGCATACAAGCTTTTAGAAGAAGACACGAGAATTTTGGAAGAAAAGAACCTTTTTGTACAAAAAAGCCTTCACATGAAGTAGCTGAGAGCCTTCTTTCTTCTTGAACCACCCTCACCATAAAGCTCATTCCATTGAAGTAGCCCGGTCATGTTCACAGACTCAGACGATACGCTGGCACATACCTGTTAAAATTTGAAACGAAGTAGCTTAATTAGTACAGCTTTTATTTTATTTAGGAAAAAAAATAACTCATATAACTTTTTTTTCAATTACCCGCTCATGAGCATATTTAAAGTCCTCCATGTTTAGAGGGCGTATATCAGCACTCCCACTCAAAGGTGGCAGAGGTTTGCCTTCTGCTAGAGCAGCAGCTCGTTCCTGCCATCAATGTTGAAACTATTAAAAACACAGTGGCAATATGCAAATAGTGATATGTTCCCTTTTTTTTCTGAAGATAGATTCCCATAGAACTGTCCTCATTATTTTCAGTAAATTAAAAAGAAAACAAAAAACTGATATTTGCCAGTCCCTTTAAAACAAAATATATCAATCTATGAAGGCATTATTAAATCTCAGCGATCAAAGTTTGCACGATGGTTGAAAGGCGGTCACTTGAAGATGTAATCTTAGGTATTAATTTCATTCAGAACTTGGAAAGATCACATCAAGGATTGGTACTTTGATTAGGGAATGCATGATTATCAATAATCTATACCCCACATAACATGTCAATTCAACATTAAACAACACAATTGCAAGTCTGACCTACTAAGATCAACTCATTCCATCTAGCTACAGCTATTACTCTTTAACTTCATGAGGTCATTGTCATCACATTTACAAATTTACATTCATTGGCCAGAATACTTACCTTTTTCTCCTTTTCCAGAATCTCTTTAATTGGATGGTGTGCAGCAGTCACACATAGATTCTGCAATACATCAAAGTAAACAAGAAGTCACCTAAAAAAGTCAGAGAAAATTCATCGGAGTTAGGAAAAGAATAGTAAACCTTAAGGTCGCTCCCAGAATATCCATCTGTCATACTCGCAACAGCATCAAAATCAACATCAGGGGACAAGTCCTCTTTTGCAAGAATAACCTTTAGTATCTTTGCTCTATTTGCAGCATCTGGCAAATTTACCATCAATCTGCCAAAATTATCAACCCATTAGTAGATGGTCTCAAACTACCAGTAAGTTAAAGTGGAGTATGCTAGTGTAAATACACATGTATAGCTCATATGCAAGAGTTGGACCGAAGTCCAAAGGATCTGTTTGGGTTATCAATGAAATACTGCAATGGTAATCTTTGAAAAAGTGAAGCGAAAGAAAGGAAGGAAATGGGAAAATAGTTATTCTTATAAATTCTGACAAGTATTTTGTGTACAAGAAACTATATTTCTAATGGGAATGTAAAGGCCTCTTCATTCTGCATTTTTCACCTAAAAATGTAAGATCACATCAGGAGGAAATGCTCTCATGCAGGAATGTAGGCAATGGTGTTCCAACAGTTTAGGTTGGTGGGGAAAAAAAGAACAAAGGGAAATGGATATTATTTTCTTTTACTGTTTTCTTTTTTCACCAAAAAGAAACAAAATGA